ATTGGCGCTCACGCATCATGCCTGTCCGAGGAAACACTTGAGTGCCTCACGGGATTCCAACAGTTTTCGCGGAACCCGGATGCGCATCATGATGCTGTCGGAGGATGGAAAAGTGGCATCAGAGGAATCATATCCATAGAGGGACATGGCATTGAGAACACGTGCACGCGAGTGCCAGATTCCTTTTCCCTTGCCTGTGCCTTTTCTTGCCACCTCGTCCATGAGTTCCAACGATTTCTTTGTTATGAAGCCATCCGCAGTCAGAATAAAGATAGAATCGGCGCGTGGGCGCCACGATCCATGTTCCGACTCGAGAAATTCGATGTAGTAATCCACAAACTCCGTTTCTATCTCCAGGCGCATCACCTCGGCCCGCGACTCAGCCATCTTTACGATCGCTTTGGCCAGTCCGCTGCTGGTTGTCATGGCTCAGTGGTGATGAGACTGGAGATGGCTCTTCTTGCAATCTGAACTAAATTGAGGCTTCAGCAAGATCATGCTCTTTTGCTTTTGCTATCTGAACCTCAGCTTGTTCAGGTCTCTATCGCAGGGAACTCTTAGAAACACATCCAATTGTCAGTCCTTCTTCCTTGGTCATCAAGATCACGTCGTAGTTCTCCAAGGTCGGCAGCCTGTAAATTCCTTCGCACCTATCTTCGCAAACAGAATTTGAGAACCCCCTTGCCAATGTCGGGATGATCGTACCAACTTAGACAGGTGATCGGTTATGTTATGCCTATACCAACACACCGCTGACTGGTCTTGTAATGATGGGGAAGTAGTGGTGATCATTGGGGGTTGTAGTAGGGAGTATAGCAATAATCCTCTTAAAGGGATGAGGTAATTGGTTATTCCTATACTGGTCTTGGTAATGGGGATGTAGTGGTGATATAGTTGTGAGGTGTAGGGGGGAGTATAGGAATAATCGTCTAATGAGTTGACTGCTGGTATTATCACCCAAAATGGGACAGGGTTCTGCTAACTGTTTAGGGCACAGGTGCGGGTTTTATGGGTGGTTGAAAGGAACCAACCCTAAACCCTAACAAACCCTACACCCTAAACCCCTAAACCCCTAAACCCCTAAACCCTAAACCCACAATAGAAGTAGCGGAAGGACAACCAGGCTCAAGCCACCAAAGGGCTCAGGGTCTCAGGGTCCGCCCGACGACCCTTCTGCCACAAAACTGAAACCCTTCTGCCGGAATTTGAGGTTTAGGGTTTTAGGGTTCAGGGTTTAGGGTTTAGGGTTTAGGGTGTAGGGTTTAGGGGATCCCAACCACAACCGGCCCCCAAACCCGAAAACTTCCAAAATACCCGAAATTTTCCGAATCGGCCAGCAAAAACTGACAGCACCGCAGCACTCAACCGGGGTTGGGGTTTCGGGTCGGCTCCTGCCGCACCGCCGCCAAGACCACCTGCAGGGCGCGGTCTCTCCAACAGTGATACAGAAAGGCCCGGCCCAACGTAGGGTTTAGGGCTGGGGTTTGGTTTCTTGATACTTGAGCTTTGGTTTGGGGGGGCTCCCCGACTCCCTGATTTCTTTTTCGTAGGCTGTGCAAAGTCTTATCGGGTTCCAACAACAAAGGTTTATCAGGCACAGAGAGCTGCAACAAGTCCTTCATGAAGGCACGACATGGAGGAAGGTTCAGAAGCTAGGCTCTTTGTTTCAAGCTCCTGGGGGGTCGTAGGCTTCCGAGCTTCATGCTTGTGCTCACCATGGTTCAGGTCTGTTCCTCATTAGAGAAGCCACAGAACCTACAAAAAACATATGCTGAGCTGTTTTCCTTCCAGGTATTGAGACTTCTATGCAAGGCTGAAGGCTTCAGATGTCGGGCTTAGGGCAGGACTTCGGTCGCGCTTTTGAAAACTGCCCCCAAAAAGAAATCGTGAGGGTTACGGGTTTGGTTTAGTGCTGGAAGGGAGGTTGAAGGCCTGGGTTCAACGGCTTAGGGTTCAAAGGGGGTGTTCAGTTCAAGGCTTATGTGTGTTTCTAGGAAGCGTCACCAGTGCGTGCGAATTTTGAAGTTTAATCTGTGCACTAACTAGCCTTGTTACAGTCTCTTGTGTCATGTAAAAGATAGCAGGATATACGATATTGGTGAATCTTCACAGTGACTGCTACTGTTTACAACGAACCAACACGTGTGATAGTAAGAACGGTAAGTAGCAGATACGAATTTCAGGGTTTAGTCTTTACGCCGGCTTTATAATGCAGCGTATTGTGTGATGACAAAAACGGTTACTAGCACAGGCATTGTTTCGGTGTGGTGCAAGATGGTGCAAACTACAACATGAAGTTATGTAATAAAGGTAAATGAGTTAAACTGTAAAGGAAACTCGTTGATGTGAATGAACGACATTTTGTGTTTCCAATGTTATGGGATTCTATGGGTGGGTCGGTGTTATGTCTAAATCGTGAAATAACTCTACTATAAAACTGCTTGATCCGGAGCTGCTGAACCCCATACCCTAAACTCTAAACCCTTTTTACACAGGTAACCTTAAACCCTAAACCCCGCTTTAGGGCTTGGGTCGGAGAATCCAGGCGAGGTCTCAAGCAGAGTCGGAGTGAAAACAGTGTAAGATCGAATGGACACTGCCCTTCCGTGTCATTCCTGCTGACGATGGCCTCCACGCTCCGCGAATCTGTGCCCAATCCCGAAATTTTGTGGCAGCGTGCTTCACACAAGCTGGGGGCTTGTGTGTGCGAGTGACGAGCGCGAGAAAGCACATCCAGACGGAGCACATGTCACTGCAGCTTGTGATCGCGCACACACTGAGAAGATCTGTTCCAAGGCTATTCCGCCTGTGCCAGTAAACCAAACAAACAAACGTCAAAATTCAACAATACCTCGACAAAAATCTGCGTTCCTCAGCCTTTGATGCCTGAAACTCGAACCCTACATTGCCCTACATCCTGGGCCCTTCGAGATCCCTGAACCCTAAACCCTAATACC